AGCACCATATACTGGATGCAGGTTGAGAGCATATGCAATCTCCTGAAGAATTTGCCACAACACTGAAATGTGTTTCCACATAGTTGGTATTGTAATTTTGTCTTTAGAAGGCCATTCCATCTTTTGACCAAGCTCTCTACATAGGGTTTCTGAGGCTGTAACCTTCATGGAAGCAGAAAACCTCATCGTTTTCTCTCACAGCAGCTGGTAGGTCTGAACCACTGACAGACACTGTGATTTGAAGTTCAGTATTTATCATACAGAGTCACCACGCTGGTAAGATCATTGAATTCCAAGAGCATGGACTCAGTGCCGCACTTCATTTGCTGTGAAGTGACTTCCTTGATCTGAGAGGATGCAGTGTAGGCTATGATGACAGTGGGATAAGGCATTATGTGTAAGTCCATGAATCGTATTTTTGTCAGAAATATTTCATGAAGGTTAGGTAAACCCACATGTAGAGCTGGTGTCCATTCCAGTAAGAATAAAATGCTGTCCTTTTCCTTGACAGAGTGTTCCAATATAATCACCTTGCCAGGAAGCTGCTGACTGAACTTCTTGAGGGATGATACCATATCATGAACTCAATGTTGGTTTCTGTTACTGGCATATTGGGCACTCAGCAGTGGTTGTAGCTAAGTCAACCTTAATAAGTAGAAGTTCATGCTACTGAGCCCAGGCCACCATAGTCACTTTGTTCATGAGCCCATTTAGCAGTGACAACAGTGGCTGGGGAAAGAGGATGATTAGTTTCCACAGAACGTGTCATCCTATCCACTTGATTATCAATGTTACAACCAATCACTAATCCAGTGATGATGAAATTAAAGAATTCTACTGACTTCAGTATGAATTTGATCAAACATATAATCAAAATGTATTGGCAATTACTGGTGATTGGAATGTGAAGGTTGGAGATAAAAAGGAAGGATCAATAGTTGTAAAATATGGCCTTGGTGATGGCCTAATGCTGCAGACCACATGAAAGAATTTTGCAAGACCCCTGACTTATTCATTGCAAATACCTTTAGAAAGCAACATAAAAGCATGGAAGTCACCAGATGGAATACACAGGAATCAATACATCTGTGGGAAGAGAGGGTAGAAAAGCTCAGTATCACCAGCCAAAAGACCTGTCTTTGTACTGTTGCAAACAGAAGATCAATTTCAGGATGAAGTTAAAGAAAACGAAACAAATACATTAGCATCAAAATATGACCTTAGACATATCCCACCTGAATTTATTGACCATATAAGAACAGATTTGATGCATCAGACACTAATTACAGATGACCAGAAGAATTGGGGGATGACATAAAGAACATCATCCAGGAAGAAAGCAAAACATCACTAAAAAGACAAGAAAGAAATTAAAGTCAAAATGTCAGAAGAAACTCTGAAACTTGCCATCCAGTGTAGAGATGCTAAAGTGACTAGAAGAAATGAGAAAATATAAGAACTGAACAAAAAATTTCAAAGGGCAGCTTGAGAAAACAAAGTGAAGTATTATAATGAAATATGTAAGGACCTGGAATTATACATACAAAATTGAAGAACCTGCTCAGCATTTTGCAAGCTGAAAGACCTGATAAAAAAAATTCAAGTAATAATTTGAAATATTAAAGGATTCTAGAAACATCCAGAAAAAACAAACAAATCCATGTTAGAAGTACAGCCAGAATGCTCTTTAAAAGTCAGGATGATGAGCTTTGTCTAATACTTCAGACATATCATCAGACATTATTTAGTCCCTGAAGAAGGACATCATGTTGGGTAATGTGGAGAGTCAACAAAAAAGAGGAAGACACCCAGTAGGATGGATTAGTACATTGGCTCAAGCAATGGGTCCAAGCATAACGACAACTGTGAGGATGGTGCAGGATGACTAGGCACTATTTCATTCTGTTGTGCATAGGGTCACTATGAGTCAGAATGCTCTGGTAGCGTAGTGCGAATCGGGCTTCGAACCTCAATGTCAGCAGTTTGAAACTACCAGCTGTTCCGCAGGAGAAAGATGAGGCTTTCTGCTCCCGTAAAGATTTACAGCCTTGGAAACCCTGTGCAGGGTCACTGAGTTAGTTCCACAGCAACAACAACAACATAGGTAAAATATTGAATAATGCAAAAAAAAAATCAAAAGGATATGGACTACAAATTGACATCTTTAAACAAACTGATGAAGCAATGGTGGCACTCATTAATGTATGTCAAGAAATTCGGAAGACAGCTACTTGATCAACTGATTGAAAGAGACCCATATTTGGGCCCCTAAGAGGGCAAAGAGGGGTGACCTAATGGAGTGTGGAATTCATCAAATAATATTATAAATATCACATGAAAGAATAATTGTGTTGAAGATAATTTAAAAATGGCTGCAACAGTACAAAGACAGGGAATTGCAGAATTTCAAGCTGGATTCAGAAGAGGATATGTTAGAAAGGACATCACTGCTGACATTAGATGGATATTGGCTGAAAGCAGAAAATACCAGAAAGATGTTTACTTGTGCTTTATTGACTATGCAAAGGCTTTCAACTTTGGGGATCCTGACAAGCTATGGATAACATTTTAAAGGATGGGTATTCCAGAGCAATTAGTTGTGCCCCTGAGGAATCTGTACATAGACCAAGTTATTTGAACAGAAGAAGGGAATACTGAATCATTTAAAATCAAGAAAAGCATGTGACAGGGCTGATGGTTCTTTTTACTAGAATAATTATTCATCTGTGAAATGTTGTCTTTACTGAATGCTCTGAAACTATTAAATTTATTTCTTAGAATGTCTGTAAACCACCATCAGAATCATTTGCGATATCAATTACAAAGAAATTTTCCCAGGTATCATCCCTGACGTACTGACTCAGAAGCTCTGGACTAGAGCCCTGGTATCTGCATTTTATATGAAACTATAGCTGCTTTAGAAGATGGTTAAGCATACACTTACCCCCAATCTTTATATCTACCCAAAATATCACCAGAGATCCAGAACCAGGTGCTCAAAGTAGGACAAAGGGAATGCCTAGGGCTAAAGGGACACAATGTGGAATACCATGGGTACACTGAGTTATCCAGGGAGGTTGTTGTTGTTGTTGTAGTTGTTGTTATGTGCCGTGGAGTAGGTTCCGACTCATAGCTACCCTGTCCTAGGCTGTAAATCTTTACGGGAGCAGAAAGCCTCATCTTTCTCCCATGGAACAGCTGATAGTTTGGAACTACTGACCTTAAGGTTCGCAGCCTGATTCGTAACCACTACGCTACCAGAGTAGCTATTTATTTCAGTTACATTTACATTTGGGATTATTATGAGAATGTCATCTTAGTTTATGATATAAATTCTATAAATATATGTATTCTATATTTCAAAAAACAATTTTGAAATGTGAGCAATATTAAATATTGAATACTTTATATGCTTTAACACTTAATTTTCAACATAAATGTGTATGGCAGTTCCACTTATTATGCAAACATTATTAAAAAATGAATTATGATTTAAGTAAGAAAAGTATCAGTGTAAATGAAGGGCATTTAAATTATTTATTATTGAAATTAATGATATGATTAATGAGCAATTTACAAAGCTGTATTTAAACTCTGATTGAAGTTTGTGAATTGACATTGATGCCAAGGGTAAGAGTAGACTGCGCCTTGCTTTTTCACTAACTTGTAGCCTTGAGCTATAGAAGATCTGTATGAGTCATATATATTCAATCTTTTCTAAGTTTATAAAATTAATACTAAATTGAAGTCTAGCAAAACACACTTATAACCAGAATCAGTGATAAACAAATTACTTGTATACTATTTTCATTCTATGCAGTAAATTACACTCATTTGAAAATCAACAAATTTTGAAAATTCCCTTAAATTTTAGATGAATTAAACATAGGTTTCTCAAATATTAAGATATAGTAAAACTATCTCATGTAAGTAACTCTCCATAATTTTCAACATCATATATTATATAAATATAATTATTTTGTCAAAACAGTTTCAACTTAGTTTATTTGAATAAAAGGTTTAAAAAACTACCATTTATTGTAATTAGGAAAACTTTCATTTGTATGGTTCATAAAATGTAAGCAATTCATTATATATTTTCCTAAAGATGAAAAATAATAGTAACAATAAATTTCATATAAAATCATGTGACATCAATATTATATAATAGATAGAGTTAAAGAAATGCATGAATCAGCTTTTCAAGTATTTGTCAATCTTACCTGCTGGTTTACAGGGAAATTTCTGTTGATTTTTTTAATCTGCAATGATAATAAAAAATAAAACAACAATAATGAATGTGAGAAGAGCAAGGTAAAAATATTATAAAAACCAAATCTATTTGTGAATATGTAGCATTTCACAAGTTAATATTCAATATATATTATTCAAATATTCAATAATCATCAATTTATAGTCTATGTTCTATAGTCTATAAACTCTATAGTCTATGCTCTCTCTTTCTGACTTTCTCTGTCTACCTAACTATGGAGTCCTGTGTGGCACTTCAGGATAAGGCAATGGACCGCAGTATGAACAGCAAGGTCAGCAGTTCAAACTCCCAAGCCACTCCTTGGAAACCCTATATAGGGTTGCTATGGGTCAGAAATGACTCGACGGCAATCAATAACAGCAACAACATTCTAACAATAGATCATTTCCATCTTGACATAGTGAAATTATTAAACATCAAATAGTATGAATGTTAATTTTGGCTATCAAAATTATCTGGAATTTTGTATATTAAGATTTAGAGAAAGATTTATATCTAAAAATGTTCTGGTTTATGAAAAATGAAAGGCTTGTGTAACTATGTAATAAGTGAATATCTATGAAGAATGTAGACAGTACATTTTCTGTTATTGATTTTTTAAAATATTTAATTAGAAATCATATTATACCCTATTTATTTTAACACTCAAGAGACTAGTGAAAAAAGAAAATTCAAGCACTGAGTAATAAAGGATCTGCATTGAAAAGATTTCAATCAAAACTCTGAATTAAATAAAACATTTACTTCAACCCAATTTAATGAATGACATTTTATAAGGATTTAAAATAACTCTTCAGAAAACACAGGCCTCTGTATTATGCAATGCAAACCAACTTTAAATATCAAATGAATATGAATGTATGCCCTGGAAAAAATGATCCTATAATGCACAAAGTCTGCTCAGCAATAGCTGTGATAATTAAAACAAATTAATATTTTTCATTGTATATCTAGAGAAAGTTAAATAATACTAATGCTTTTTGGTAGAATATTACATTAGAATGAATTCAGTTCATCAGACTAGTTTTCAGACACAAATTAATTTCATTGAATTATATTATTTCAACCCCACCCTCTTTAGTTTAGTTTTCTTTTGAGTTATTAGAAAATGATAACTAACAGATCACATAATGGAAATAGAGTACAATTTTGAATACTTCTCAAATAGTTCATCTACAAGAATGGGCTTGTTAAAAAAAACAGTAAAATACAGACTAGTAAAATAATCTCAATAAAAATATAAAATAAAAACATTTGAAAATGCTTACATGGTTTGTAATGGGTCAAGTGTAAAATCTACATTTTATATTGCTATTATTATTTCAAATAACCATCTGCCCTAATAAAGAATCAGCAAAGGAAAATTCTAAAACTTCTTGTCCCATCAGTGGAAAATAACACGGAATTAGGGTAGGGTTGCACAGCTGTACAATCCTACTATTACTCAATATGACTGTTCCCTTTAATTGTAATTTCTGTCAATAAGTTGTATACGTGTAGTAGTTGAATTTGCAAAAGCTGTATAATAGATATATTGCCAACTACAGCAACGACATAGTAGAAGTAGATGTGGTTAGTTATGTGTAACTAAACACCTAATGGGATTTGGTTCCTTAGTTTGGAGATTTAGGGTTATGGTCTCATGGGACATTTCATTTAATAGTCATAAAAAGATGTTTAGTGCATCTGTTCTTTCTCCTAGTTTGTAGCATAATGCCTGGTATCATAAATACTTAGAAGTGGCCGTCTAAAGTACTACAATTTGTCTCCAGTTCCCTGGAAATAAAGAAGAAGGAGAGTCAGGGATGGGAGAAGGGTATAAATGGTATGACTAAATGTCTCCATGAATAACTATCTGTTTTGCTATGCCACTGGAAGAGCTGGAATTTGCCCAGATACCATTACTGAATATTTTGATCAAAGACTATATAGAAGAATCTTGATCAAAAGAAGGAAAATTGAAGCTTAGACTTTCAAAGTCTCATGGAATCCAGAACTACTGGGCTCATGGTGGTTAAATAAACACTTGAAATTATTTTAAACCTTAAACCAAAATTATCCCCTCAAGTTTTCTTAAAGCCAAACAATAGCACAGCTTGACTTGTTAAAAAAAAAAAAAAAAATCTGCTTTCAGCATTATAAGAAGTAACTATATGTAAGATAGTAAGGAGCTCTGGTAGTGTAGTGGTTACGAATCGGGCTGCGAACCTTAAGGTCAGCGGTTCAAAACTACCAGCCGCTCCGCAGGAGAAAGATGAGGCTTTCTACTCCCGTAAGGATTTACACCCTCGGAAACCCTGTACAGGGTCTCTATGGGTCGGAACCGACTCGACGGCACTTAACAACAACAACAACAAAGTGACAACAACAACTTTAAAGATTAGATCTGAACCACAGGAAGCAATGAGTTTAGGCTAATGGGAGGAAAGTCTCAGAAAAGGAGTCAGAATGGAGGTACAATTCATAGAATGCAGTCACTGTCACTGAATTATATATGTAGAAGCACCTGAATTGGTATATGTTTTGCTGTGTGTGATAGAGTAAATTTATTTAATATGTCTCCTCTAGCCATGGTTTTTGTAACTTCCACCAAATGATTGAGTTTTTATTAACTGGCGTTAAGTTGGTTCTGACTTATAGCAACCCAGTATAGGATTTCCAAGGACTGGCTGGTGAGTGAGACCATGCAAATAGGATATATAGGATTCCAATCTAATGTTGGGATTAATTTCCTAGCCTGCTAGACTTTAAAGGAGCTTCTATCTCAGAAGTTAAGAATAAGATGATCTCAGGACTACCAACAAAAAAGAGCCAAGAGCAGAACATTAGATTCTAGTTTACAATGTTGCAGCACAGGCACTCCTGATCTGAGAACTGCTGTATCTTGAGTTGTTTCTAATCTTGAATCATACACTTTTAACGTTCCTCAAGAATGCCATAATCATGAGTATTCTCTGTGAATTCTGTATGGCCACTCCCTTAGTGAGACCCATATAAAACCCTGAAAGAAAGAAAAAACTGTCAAACAAGAATCCTTCATTTAGCAAAGTTATCAACCAAATATGACGGTGTAATCAAAACATTCCGTGATAAATGGAAGTTACGGGATTTTGCCAAAGCCAACCCTGCACTACAAAACATCCTAAAGGGAGTTCTGTGGAGTGAAAACCAACAAGAAAAGACAACAACCAGCAATTGACATATGTGGCAGCACCTCCTTGAACTAAATCGACAGAAGGACAAGTTGAGAACAGAACAAAACTATAAGAACAAACTCAGAGAATCTGGAAGGTCAGTCGATGATCAAAACAATTACAATGTGAAAGAAGGTAAACACATAGGATCACCAGATGGTGAGAAGATCAGGTAGATTATAGGATAAAATAGACTGCATTAAATGGAAGGAAAAGTTAATTGACTATAAGGAAACCTCAAAGAAAATTAACACTTTACAACATACCAAGAAAATGAAAATCCAAGAAGAACATGGAAACATTAAAACTATGAGGAAACTCACAAGAAAGAACACAAAAGCATGAACTCAACAAAAGAAGGCACACAGAACAAAGAAAGCAGCAACACTACACACACATACAAAAAAAACAAAAACAAAAACCACATAACGGCAGCAATTAATCCATACCTATCGATAATTACACTGAATGTAAATGGATTAAATGCACCAGTTAAGTGACAAAGGGTGGCAGAATGGATAAGAAACCAAGATCCTTCAATATGTTGTCTGCAAGAGACACATCTTACACACAGAGACAAAAACAGATTAAAAGTCAAACGATGGAAGAAAAATACCAAGCTAATTGCAATAAAAAATGAACAGAAGTGGCAGTACTAATCTCTGATAAAATAAACTTTAAGGCAAAAACAAGCATAAGAGATAAAGATGGACATTATCTCATGATAAAAGGAACAATTGAACTTGATGACATAATCATAAAAAATATCTATGCTCCCAATGAAAGAGCTCCAAAATAAATAAAGCAAACTCTAATAGATTTATAGAAAAAAAAACCTGACAAATCTACAATAATTGTGGGAGATTTAATACACTGCTTTCAAAAATGGATAGAATAACTAGAAACTTGACAGAGACACAGAAGAACTAAACAATACAATCAACCAACTGGACCTCATAGATGTATATAGAGCATTCAACACAACAACAGCATAATACACGTTCTTTTCCAGTGCACATGGAACATTCTCCAGAATTGACCAAGTTTTAGGTCACAAAACAAATCTCCATAAATTTACAAATATCAAAATACTACTAAGCATCCTCTCAGACCACAATGCTACCAAATTAGAAATCAATAATAGGAAAACCAAGGAAATAAAGCCAAATACATGGAAACTGAATAACACCCTGCTGAAAAGTGACTGGGTAGTAGAAGAAATTAAATGTAAACTCACAAAGTTCCTAGAAACAATTGATAATGAAAACACAACATACCAAAATCTCTGGCAAAAGTTGTGCTCATAGGACAATTTATTGCAATAAACACACACATCCAAAAAGAAGAAAGAACCAAAATTAACACATTAACCCAGCATCTACAACAATTAGAAACAGACCAACAGAGGGAAACAACAGCCACCAAAAGAAAAGAAATAATAAAGATTAGAGCAGAAATAAATGAGATAGAAAAACTATACAAAAGAATCAACAGGACAAGAGGCTGGTTCTTTGACAGGATTAACAAAATTGACAGACCATTGCCCAACCTAATCGAAGAAAAGTGGGAGAAGACACAAATATCACACATTAGAGAAAAATGGGCTATGTCAAAATGGAACCAAATGAAATCAAAAGGATAATAGCAGAATACTATGAAAAGTTGTACTCTAACAAATTTAAAAACTTAGAAGAGATGGATACATTTTTAGAAAAGCATGACATACCTAAACTTACACAGAGTGAAATAGAAAACCTGAACAGACCCATAACAAATGAAGAAATTCATCAGGTCA